CATGGATGAAAGTAGAACAAGGAAACTCATATCTTTCTAAACATGGTGGCTGAAAGTTTCACAACATTAAGGAATCATAATGGGCACATGCCGTATTAAATTAGTTTTAATTTATTCACTTGGATTGAATTGTTCACATTTTCTTGCGAATAAAATTTATGGTAGTGAATAATTCGAATACCTGTATTGATATTTTGTAAAATAGGCGGTGCTGTATTTTATTGATGTTAAATTCATATCAAACAAGCATAGTTACTGTTCCGAAATTATGCACCCTTTTTTTTGCATATAATGCTGGCCAAAATCATTATAAAGCTGGCAAAAGTTGGCATAGTGCAGGCCACGGAGCTTATTTTCGGGAGTGCTTAATTTATCGATATTTTATTAAAAACGCTGATCATAATTTGGGGTTGTCAGAAATGTAGATCGACTCGATCAGATCAGCTGGATCTCCCATTTTTTAGGGTCCAGATTTTTTAACTAGTACAAATATACAATCAGCATTTAAATTGTTTCACAATCAATTTCACTTTCTTCTCAATGACCGAACCAAAAAAAAATAAAACAAAACAGACAAATCTTTACATTTCAAGACTAAAAGGGGAGATCTCTTTAGTCAATCCTGATTACACTTCTAATATTAAAATTGATAATAATCAAGGCTGGCAGCAAGTTCTTGCTGCATTGAAAAAATACAAAGAACAGACTCAAATTAACCTCGAATGGGAGGAATTTTATTATCGAGTAAACCATGTTCAGGCGATGTATAATCAAGTTAAGCGAACCGATGAACATTTGCAAAAAGAAGAAATTAATAAGTTAATTAAGTCCTCAATACCTGGTTACGATTCTCAAAATAGTTCTTTTAATGAATTTTCACGTTGGAAAAAGTTTTATAATTACATCGTTTTATTAATAGAAAATCCTAAATTACAAGAGAATAATATTCCGATTGATTTTCGTTTTAATCAATTTATTGGGTTGGGACTTACAGTAAACTATCTATATCAAGTAGAAGAAGACAATTTCAAATCTTTTTTGAATGAATTTGAGCATTATTGTATCAAAAAGTACTCTGAAAAAAAAGGATAATATAAATTTGGAGATTTTAAATTTAATTTTATGATAGGTTTAATTTATTATGTTAGTATTAATAATATTAAGATTTTAAATTTATATGATTTTTAAGCTAATAAACTGATCTAATATTCTATTCGACGTCAGAATAATGTTTGATGAACTTTCAGATAGAGTTTAATATAAAAATATTGTTTAATGTTGTGAAACTTTCGTTCGTGTGTAAACAGTTAGGACTGATGCGAAATATTGTTTAAAATAGGTTTTAATATAATAAAACTGATTAATCAATAGAACTGATTGTAGGAAGTTAAGTAGTCTGACTAGCTAGTTAAACTAGTTCAATTGAAAAGATTATGTTGATGTCATGAAACTTTCAGCTGGGAATTGATTTCTTGATGTTGAAAATTTTTGTAATTCCTTAATGTTGTGTTTCCTTGTTCTACTTTCATCCATGTGTAAATAGATAGAAGTTGATTTCCTTGTGTGAAAATCTAGTTGATTCCGACTGATGTTGTGAAACTTTCAGCCGTGTTTGTATTTCCTTAATGTTGTGAAACTTTCAGTCGTGTTTGAAGATAGAAGTTCCCTTGTTCTACTTTCATCCATGTGTAAATAGATAGGTTGATTTCCTTATGTGAAAATCTAGTTGATTCTGGTTGATGTTGTGAAACTTTTAGCCATGTTTGTGATTCCTTAATGTTGTGAAACTTTCAGCCACCATGTTTAGAAAGATATGAGTTTCCTTGTTCTACTTTCATCCATG